TTCATGTCTCGATTCTTCCTCGACACAGGCCGTTTCTGCGCTTTGCGTTCGAGGGTCGAGCATATCAGTACAAGGTCCTGCCCTTCGGGCTGTCCCTGTCTCCCCGTGTCTTCACGAAAGTCACGGAGGGGGCCCTTGTTCCCATGAGAGAACAGGGCGTTCGCCTCCTCAACTATCTCGACGACTGGCTTATACTAGCACACTCTCGAGATCAGTTATGCGAACACAGGGACCTCGTGCTCACGCACCTCAGCCAGTTGGGCCTTCAGGTCAACTGGGAAAAGAGCAAACTCGCCCCTGTGCAGAGGATCTCTTTTCTCGATATGGAGTTGGATTCGGTCGCACAGACAGCGCGCCTCACAGAGCAGCGCGCTCAGTCGGTGCTGAACTGCTTGAACACGTTCAAAGGCAGGACAGCGGTCCCACTGAAATTTTTTCAGAGGCTCCTGGGGCATATGGCAGCGGCAGCAGCGGTAACTCCGCTCGGCTTGCTTCATATGAGACCGCTTCAGCACTGGCTTCACGGCCGAGTCCCGAGATGGGCGTGGCATCATGGCACTCACCGGGTGGCAATCACACCGGCCTGCCGCCAGACCTTCAGCCCGTGGTCAGACCTCTCGTTCCTTCGGGCAGGAGTCCCCTTGGAACAGGTCTCCAGGCATGCTGTGGTTTTCACAGATGCCTCTGCCACCGGCTGGGGTGCCACGTACAACGGGCATGCAGTGTCAGGGGTGTGGACGGCTCCCCAACTGCATTGGCACATCAATTGCCTCGAGTTGCTAGCAGTACATCTCGCTCTGAGCCGCCTGAAAAGGCCGCTACGGGGCAGGGACGTGCTGGTCCGTACGGACAACACTGCGACCGTGGCGTACATCAACCGACAAGGTGGTCTACGCTCCCGTCGCATGTCGCAACTCGCCCGCCATCTCCTCCTCTGGAGTCAGAAGCATCTGAGGTCGCTTCGAGCCATGTATGTCCCTGGCGTGCTCAACCGTGTGGCCGACGAGCTATCACGAGCTGTGCTTCCGGGAGAATGGCGACTCCACCCCCAGGTGGTTCAGCTGATCTGGAGAGAGTTCGGAGAGGCTCAGGTAGACCTGTTTGCCTCTTCAGAGACCTCCCATTGCCAGCTGTTTTACTCCCTGACCGAGGGAACACTCGGCTCGGACGCACTGGCACACAGCTGGCCCCGGGGCCTCCGCAAATATGCGTTTCCCCCAGTGAGCCTACTTGCACAGACACTGTGCAAAGTCAGGGAGGACGAGGAGCAGGTCCTTCTGGTGGCTCCCTATTGGCCCACCCGGACTTGGTTCCCAGAACTCATGCTCCTTGGGACAGTCCCTCCCTGGCCCATTCCTCTGAGGAAGGATCTTCTGACTCAGAGACGGGGCACCCTATGGCACCCGCGTCCAGACCTCTGGAAACTCCATGTCTGGTCCCTGGACGGGACGCGGAGGTTCTAGGTGACTTACCCCCTGAGGTACTTAACACCATCACTTCAGCACGGGCGCCGTCCACGAGACGTGTTTACGCCCTGAAGTGGAACCTGTTCGTCGAGTGGTGTTCTTCTCGCCGAGAAGACCCCCGGAGATGTTCGATAGGGTCTGTGCTTTCCTTCTTGCAGCAAGGGTTGGAGCGAAGGCTGTCTCCCTCCACCCTCAAAATACATGCTGCAGCTATTTCAGCTTATCACGACCACGTAGATGGCAAAACAGTGGGGAAGCACGACCTGGTCGTCAGGTTTCTTAGGGGGGCGAGACGATTAAATCCTCCTCGACCCCACTCCATACCCTCTTGGGATCTTTCCCTGGTGCTTCGAGCACTTCAGGATGTTCCCTTTGAGCCTCTGCAGTCAGTAGACTTAAAGCTTCTTCCATGAAGACTTTGCTACTGGTTGCACTGGCCTCTGTCAAGAGGGTAGGAGACCTGCACGCATTTTCGGTCGACGAATCGTGCCTAGAGTTCGGGCCGGGTGACAACCATGTGGTATTAAGACCCCGGCCTGGCTATGTGCCCAAGGTTCCTACCACTCCCTTCAAAAACCAGGTAGTGAACCTGCAAGCGCTGCCTTTGGAGGAGGCAGACCCAACCCTGGCTTTGCTCTGTCCCGTTCGCGCTCTGCGTATGTACGTGGACAGAACTCAAAGCATCAGGACCTCAGACCAGCTCTTTGTCTGTTATGGAGGCCAGCAGAGAGGAAAGGCTGTCTCCAAGCAGAGGATGGCCCACTGGATAGTGGATGCCATCGCCTTGGCTTACCAAGCTCAAGGCGTGCCCTGCCCGCTCAGGTTGCATGCACACTCCACGAGAGGCGTTGCATCCTCCTGGGCGCTGGCACGTGGCTCCTCGCTAACAGATATCTGTAGAGCTGCGGGCTGGGCGACACCTAACACGTTCGCTAGATATTATAGCCTACGTGTAGAGCCGGTCTCCTCCCGTGTTTTCACCCTAAACGGGTAGAAGCACTGAGAGGCCCGGCTCTGTCGGCTTGCTGCACCCTACTGTGCACCCTTATTGCTCCAGAGTGAAAAACCTGTTGAGTCCTCCAAAAACCCCTCGGCCCGGACATGGCGGAGCGTCCAGGTGCCAGGCCTTTATCCGCTGAATCCTTGAGAACCGGATCTGGGCTGGGTTCCATATGTGTGACCCTACGGGGATCCCATATGTGTATATTTTCCACGGCTGCTCCTAACGGAAGCCCGTGTCTTTCCCTTGGGCTAAGTCACCCACTATCTCATATGTAGTACAGCCTTCGGGCTAGTCCATATGTATTCCCCACATAACTCCTTGAAGTAAGTGGCTTCCGCAGCGTCCTCCTTCCTAACTGAAGGGCACGCTTTCCCAGTGTTATCCAATAATCTCACTGTATGGGTTATTACGGAACAACAGTGACAGATACACTCTGTGTGTAGCCTCCTCCTATCGTCCTTCTAGGCAAGAAGGTGTAGAGGCTTGCATGGGGCGCTGGATGGGGTGCAGCAGCTGTGGCGCTTTGGTAGGGATTCCTATTGGTCAGTCTGACCTACGTTGTAGTGACTGACCGATAGGGAACGTCTCGGTTACATATGGTAACCCTCGTTCCCTGAGGGAGGGAACGGAGACGTAGGTCCCGTCGCCACATCTGCTGCCGCCCGCTGGGGCGGCCAGCTTTTTCAGGTTTGGCTCCTCAGCAAAAAACTAGTGTGCAATCATAACAGCTGCTGTTAAATACCCGCGCTGACGAGGACGCGCAGCTGATGCAAATGATTGCATGCCAATGTGCATTGGCTTGTTTTAGTTTCACTCGAAGTAGATTGGCCTCTCTAGCGAGATTCCTATTGGTCAGTCTGACCTACGTCTCCGTTCCCTCCCTCAGGGAACGAGGGTTACCATATGTAACCGAGACGTTTTCCCACGTGGAACTATACTATCCACTCTAATTGCACCTCTTGTTACTCTGTTTTCTATAGATTTAAATTGAATAAAATCAGCCAGAGGAGGAGGAGGAGGAGCTAAACCATACATATTTATTTAAAATGTGACAATGATGAAAACTAAATAGTTTTTTTATCTAAACATTTTAAGTGCTTGTTTGTATAATAATTCCAATTGGTTTTAGAACTATCAAATTAGACCAGCTTGCCTAACAATATGTGACATGAAAAATAATCATAGAATGAAAATATATATTTGCAGCCTCATTTGATAAAGAATTTCTAATAAACCTAAAATTAACCAAGTTAAATTTAACATTTTTGCAAACTTTTTTTATGTGGGTTTTGAAACCAAGACAGGACTTTAGATGTACCCCTAGGTATTTACATTCTGAAACAACCTGTAATCTATCTCCCGAAATAAAAATATCCTGCTTTATATCAGCACTGTGTCCTTTAGAAAAGAACATACAGACTGTTTTGACGCATTTCATTTCAGATAACTCTGATTGTATGTAACTTTGAACTTTAATTCAAACTAATGCTTCAGCCTTAAAGGGTTAGTTCACCCAAAAATGAAAATTATGTCATTAATGACTCACCCTCATGTCGTTTCAAGCCCGTAAGACCTCCGTTCATCTTCAGAACACAGTTTAAGATATTTTAGATTTAGTCCGAGAGCGTTCTGTCCCTCCATTGCAAATGTATGTACGGTATACTGTCCTTGTCCAGAAAGGAAATAAAGACATCATCAAAGTAGTCCATGTGACATCAGTGGGTTAGTTAGAATGTTTTGAAGAATCGAAAATACATTTTGGTCCAAAAATAACAAAAACTACGACTTTATTCAGCATTGTATTCTCTTCCGGTTCTGTTGTCAATCCGCGTTCAGTGATGCTGATGACGTAAGACGCTGCTGGCGTGTAATCTGAGCTTCGTTTACAGTCTGAGGGAGACCCACGCTGTAAACAAAACAATCTTCGCAAACATGTCTAAGGATTTCGACACAGAGGAAGACTTGCATTTTTTTGCCCAGCCATATTTATTTGAACCGGAATACACAGATACACGTCAACAGCGTCTTACGTCATCAGCGTCACTGCGGACTCATAAACGTGGATTGACAACAGAACCGGAAGACAATACAATGCTGAATAAAGTCGTAGTTTTTGTTATTTTTGGACCAAAATGTATTTTCGATGCTTCAAAACATTCTAACTAACCCACTGATGTCACATGGACTACTTTGATGATGTCTTTATTTCCTTTCAAGGACAGTATACCATGTATACATTTTCAATGTAGGGACAGAAATCTCTCGGACTAAATCTAAAATATCTTAAACTGTGTTCCGAAGATGAACGGAGGTCTTACGGGCTTGGGACGACATGAGGGTAAGTCATTAATGACATAATTTTTCATTTTTGGGTGAACTAACCCTTTAAGCATGGTGGTGGTGTTTAAAAAAAATCTAAATAAATTATATGGTCTGGAGTCTCTGAAACCCTAAACAGAACATGACTTGTTTTGATGGCTAAAACTCATTTTGATCTCCTTATGATTTTATTTATCAGCCTTGAAGACACCATGATGGGCATTCACATCATATCTACTTTGCCCATTCTGGCTTTTTTGTTCTTCCAACTGGCAGCAGGGCAAGATGAACTGATCATCTCCACTGACAAAGGCAAAGTCAGAGGACTGAGGCTTCCTGTGCCGGGAGGTTCAGGGTACGTGGGGGCCTTCCTTGGGATCCCCTATGCCAAGCCTCCATTGGACCTGCTTCGGTTCAAACGACCAGAGCCTGCTGAAGTGTGGAATGGGATACGAGGTGCCACCCGGTACTCCAATTCCTGCTTCCAGGAACAGGATTCATTGTACCCAGGATTCCCTGGAGCTGAGATGTGGAATCCCAACACCAGGATTAGTGAAGACTGTCTGTACCTCAATGTCTGGACTCCCTCAATCAACCTCCAGAACCGAGCCAAACCGTTAGTCCCAGTTATGGTGTGGATCTATGGTGGAGGCTTTTCCACAGGTACTGCCTCCCTCGATGTGTACGATGGGCGTGTCCTCAGCCAGTCGCAACAAGTGGTGGTGGTGTCTATGAATTACAGGGTAGGAGCATTGGGTTTCCTATCTCTACCTAAAAGTAAAAGTCTTAAAGGTAATGCTGGTCTGTTTGACCAGCGCTTGGCTCTAAGCTGGGTGTCAAAAAACATTGCTGCTTTTGGGGGCGATCCATCCTCCGTTACCTTGTTTGGGGAGAGTGCTGGTGCTGGCTCTGTGGGACACCATTTGCTTTCGCAGGGCAGCCATGGCCTGTTCACCCGCGCAATTCTCCAGAGTGGCAGTCCCAATGCCGTGTGGGCGACCGTGGAGCCAGCTCAGGCCTGGAACCGTTCTTTGACTCTGGCTCAGCTTCTGAACTGCCCACTTGGACACTTTTCATCTGTTGATGAAATCGAGGCTTGCTTAAGAGCAGTTGAACCTGAGAAGATAGTCAGTCTTCAATTCAATGTCATTCCTGATCCCATGATAATAAGTGTGCCCTTTCCTCCAACAGTGGATGGAGAATTTCTGGTAGACATGCCGAGTGTCTTAATCCAGTCAGGACGTTTTCTAAAGACAGACGTTCTTTTGGGATTGAACAAAGATGAAGGGACATACTTCCTTGTATATGGTGCACCTGGATTTGGCATCTATAACCAGAGTCTTATCAATCGAGACCAGTTCCTCACGGGTGTATCATTGGGCCTCCCTGGTTTCAGTGACATGGCCAGAGAGGCGGCTGCTTTTCAGTATACGGATTGGACCGATGAGCAGAGCAAGCCAAAAAACAGAGAGGCCCTAGGCTGGTTGGTGGGCGACCACTATTTTTCATGCCCCTTACTGGATTTTGCCCGTAGGTATGTTGAGAATGGTGGCAGAGCCCGATTGTTCCTCTTTAACCATCGCTCCAGCTTCAACCCATGGCCTCGATGGATGGGTGTAATGCACGGGGATGAGATCCCATTTGTTTTTGGGATTCCTCTGAACCAGACTTTAAGATTCTCTAAGGAGGAGGAGGCCATGAGCAGGAGGATAATGGAGCATTGGAGCAACTTTGCTAGAAATGGGTGAGTGTAAATCTGACACACAATCTACTGCATGAGCTTATGTTCTATCCTAGTTCAAAGTGTTAAATCTGTCTTTATTTACTCACTCATGTCGTTCCAAACACTTATGCCTTTCTTTCCTCTGTGCACTGTCAGAAAAAAAAGTGGACAATTTTTACCTTTTAGGGGTACAACAGCATGTCACTAGAGCAGTGCCCTTAACCCTTTTGCACGTTCGATCACACCGGTGTGATCAGTCTAGGCTGGTCCCTGGAGTGTACGATCCCACCGGTGTGATTAGAACGGTCAGTGCATCACACGATCAACTGCTAAATTCAAATGTGCTTTCGCACGTTGGCTGGCACTGAGTCAGAGATGGACTAGCACAGTGCTTGTCATATCTCACAACTATTCAGTGTTTATAACCGTGTTTAAACAACAAAATACATCCACTTGCACCAGTGGCGGCTGCTGGTCTTTCAAAGAGGGGAAGCTCTTTTTTTTTTTTAACTCCACTGTCAGGTGTGGGGATGGTGAAAAGAGCGAGGACTCAGGTGCAGAGTTGATGGGCTTTATTTTAATAATAAAATAGAAAATGCAAACAAAAACTACGAACCAGCACAGGATAAGGAGAATAAATAGGGAGCAAAAAAGGCAGGTAACGAGGGAGGACAAGTGGGGCAAAATAACTAATAATCAGGAAACAAGATGGGAGTCTACACAATTGACAGGAGAGCACATGGCACAAGGAAAACACATGACAAGCCATGTGCTCAAACCAAACATGACAAAAACACAAACACATGGCCAGTTAAACAAATTACAAGCAATTGTGCTCACACAAAATGAGACATGAAGAACAATGAGAACAGTCATGAGCCACGTGTTCCCACAGAACATGACAACATGAAAGCACACAGCTAGTGTAAAACACAAGCTGTGTGCTACACAGCACAAGACAAAACATGACATGAAAGCACGTGACCGATGTAAACACGAACCGCGTGCTACACACAAAACAACACACTGAACAGAGCTAACACGAAACCGCACGCGAACACGACAAGACAGAACGACGAGTCGAGAACGACCATAAGCTCATCCTGTGCACTCACAACAGAAAACAAACACGCAGAGCATGCATGTCCGAATCCCGACACAAAACCGAAACCAAACTAGCGCTAGACAGATGTGCCGTGATTCAAACACCACGCCCGCACATGTAACAAGGCACCTGACATCGACGGAGGAAATGTAGGAATTAGGTTAAACTGTGAAATGTATGATGAAAATTGCAAATACCAAAAAATATTACAGCAGTTCGTCTTCCGAGTAGACTTGCAAAATCTGCGATGAGACTGAGCTCGAAATCTCGAATAGCTTCCGCGTCAGTGACTTTGTTTTTATTGTGCGAAATCGCTGTCAATCAAAAGGAGATGCAGTCCTCCAATCATCACGCAGACACCCGGACGCCAGGCCAGCCCACTTTCCTATTCACCCCAGAGACGCTAAGCGTCCGTGGGCGGGACATAATCGCAGCATTTATCCAATGACCGTCTAGTTTCGAAGCACTGAAAAAAACTGTTCAAAGCAGCTCCATTGAAGTCAATGGACGCTGAGCTTCAACGGGGAAATGCCATAGGGAAATGCACTGTGACGCGCTACGGGAATGTATGAGTCAGCCGACCTGCTATATGTAGCTGATTCTGAACGAACTCGTCTTCGAGATGACCGTGTTCTAACGCATTTTTAGTCAATAAAATGTTAACACAATAGTACACATTTGACCATTAATTTTTCGACATTATAGGGGAAGCTGAGCTTCCCTTGCAGTCTTAAAGAAATCGCCACTGACTTGCACATATTTGACAATCGGAACATCATATATTTCATGCTATAGCTGACACATTTGTGAATATTTTGAATTAAAAAAGTAAAATGAAACAAGCAGATCATCAGTCATTCAGCGCTATTGTACTGTAGCTGCGGTGTATATTTTATAAATATAAAATATATTTAAACTTGCGTGTGAAAAGGTTAAATGGACAACTTTGTGCCTTACCTACCCCTAAAATATTGCACATTAATACTTTAGAGTAGTAAACTTAAGGTACTACTATGTACCTTTTAGAGGTAAATAAGGTACAAAGATGTCCCTTTAAAGGGGTCATATAATGGTACATGCACTTTTTCATCAAGTTGATTGTATTGAAATGTGTGTTGGCAGTGCCTGTACACAACCATCATATAATGATAAAAATCCATCCAGTGTTTTTTTTATTTTTTATCTCCTTATATATTTTCCCGTCTCAAATCGAGCCGTTCGACCGTGTGACGTCACACATAGAGGATCAGTATAAAGTTGGTTTTGCTAAGAAGCTGCTCCTGAAAAAAGAATCGGTACCAACTATTTGTGTTCCTGCTGCACCTCCAGAAGAAGTGAGTGTAAAGTTTTATTAACCTTTATATTAATCTTTGCAAATCGCTTGCACGCTTCACGATGAATGTTTTCTATGTACGGTGTTCTCAATATAATTTATAATCCCACGTTTATAATGAACAACGCGTTATGGTTATTGTGTTATTACAAACTGTGTACGTATACATCAGTAAACGCATAGCGTTTGTATCTCACTACTCTACCCTGCCAGTACATACAAAGATAGATCAAAGTGACATTACGTTAACCAACCATTCAGAAACGTCCTGTTCGAGCCTTAATTGTCAAACTTCTTCGGGGCTGTCATCTTGTTCCGGGTCCGACTCCCGTTCAAACTGATACGGTTGCACAGATGTGTCCTCAGAGACTCCCACTGCCATTCTTTCTACAAAATATACCTTCAACTGTTGTCAAGGCAACACTCCACATGTGTTGTGTCAAAACGCCCCACAGAACGGAGGGGCGGGGTGAGATAAGCTCATTATCATTTAAAGACACATGCACTTAAATGGCGTGCTGAAAACAGCTGTTTTTGACCAGGTAAAATTTGTGTTTTCTTACAATACTAATGAGAACATTTAATTAAAGTATATTACAAACTTTTCATTTAGACCCTAAAGAATCAAATTAACTTGTATGAAAATGGCATTATATGACCCCTTTAAGGGTATTGTCCGTGTGACAAGCTACTGGTACAATTGTTGTACACATTTTCTGATATTGTGGAAGATAAAAGGAAGGTGTTTTTCTGTCTTGCCACTGTGGTGGCTGTCAAATCTCATTTGTTCTTACATATATTCACATATCACTTGTGCTGACACAACACGCCAGTTTTGACCTCAATAATGTCAAACATCATTGACTGTTGCATGCCTTGTAACCAAAGTGTCAATTAGGCTTGAAAGCTACCTAGAACATTGTCAGTGAATAACAACTTAAATTTAGTCTTTAGTCTGTTTAACAGATAAAAACCCTCATGTGACTTGTAGCATCATAAGCATTGTGGTGTATAAACGTGGAAACGTGTTCTTTTTTTCCCTTTTGAAGCATCTGACCGGATTTTTTTTTTCTCTTTCACTGTTTGGAGAAAAATCAGTTTACGAATTCTGCCTATTTGTTTTCCACAGAACAGGAAAAAAGAATGTTGTAAGGTGTTGGAATGACAAATTTTCATTCTTGACTGAACTATTATTTTAATACTGAAAATATCATACTCAAATTTTGTTTACACAAGACAATTTCTATGTATTTGTATACATTTACTATAAACAGTTAAATAATTATTTACATTTATCTCTGAGAAATGTTTTAGATGTTTAATCCTTAATATCTTGATGAAGATAGGCTTTCATCTGCTCACACTTGTTCAGTTGATGTGTAAAAAACAAAACAAGTCTTGGTGTTGCTGGCAGGCTAGTGTTGATTAGCATCCTCATTTGTTTGGCATAAATTATGGAGAGGCAGAAACAGCCTTTATTGTGGCTGTGAGCAAGCTTAGTTTCTTTCAATTAACACTTCATACACTCTTCACACTGGAGGGGAATGGCACGATGCTAATATATCAATGAACATGATCAGTAAACAAGATCACAATGGAACACGCTGAAGTTAATCTTTTCCTGAAATGGACAGATTCGCTTATTAAAAGTATTGGGTGCAATTTCTTAAATGTCTTGTTTTGAAGACTTTACTTTGCTGGGATTGTGCATTAAGATTCAAAGCCTCTTGTTGTAATGGACTGCAAGGCATTCTTTACAAGAGCGCATAAACGTCATAGCTATTGAGTCATTCCATTGATTTTTTTATATATTTTTTGGGCTTCAGTTGTTTTGGAGCAGAAATGTATTGATGTATCTTGGTACCATACATAAACTGACCTTTCAGTTGATTTCCTGGCTTGATGTTTCAGGGATCCGAGTGTGGAGGGAGCAGATTGGTCGCCATTCATGCTGGAACATCAGCAGTATGTCACGCTTAACACTGGCATGTCACAAACACTCCGGATGCTTAGAGCCCAGCAGTGCAAGTTCTGGGACAGTTTCCTGACAAAACTACAGTATGTCACAGGTGAGAGTCACAGAATGAGAACAACCACCCACCCACACCACATAAACAAAGAAAATCACGACATGCTCGCTTCTGCATGTCTCTTCAGCTCTGCCTGGCCAGCACATGTGTCATCTTCTAGTCTCTTGAGGACAGCTGTAGTGCAGACCTGGCCAGCTAGTGGAGCTTAATGCGGGACCGGAGAGGGTTGAGTGTTTCAGAAGCACAGCAATTATTTACATTTACATTTTTGCATTTGGTAGATGCTTTTATCCAAAGCAACTTGCATTGCATTCAAGGTATACACTTTATCAGTGGAACATACAACACTAAGGCCATGGGTTTGATTCTCAGGGAATGCATGAACTGTTTGAGCTATACAGAAATGCTTGTAGATTATTAAACTATACAATTCGATTTTTTAAATAAAGAAAATGTGAGCAATTACCTGTTAAAAACTTGGTGTTGTGATGGTGCGGTCTCCAGAGGCGAAATCACTGATGCCTCGTGGAGTTTGTTTTGACCCATTTTGTCATTCGTCAGGTGGAAAAAGCTAAGTCTGTAAAGCAATAACACACCTGTCCTCAAAGTTGTTTTTAGTTTGTATAACATAAACAATATGGGACAACTTGCCTTTCAAGTACTACTAATAATATTATGTCTTGTATTAACCAAACTGTGCTACCCAGGTTAGATAGAAATGCTTTTCAGGAAATAGCCTGTCACTATCTTTAGTTTTTCATAGTTACTCATTTTATTTTGTCATTCCATTGCATGACAAAATAAAATGAGTAGAATGATTTGGCCTGGAATCCACAAGCTTGAGATTGAAATGTACACTTTCCTCAAAAGCTGTTCTGTCCCTGCCAAGAATAGCAAGTACTTATTTTTAACGTGTTCAGAATGTATTCATAAAGACACATGTATAATGGAGAAATATGTTGCTGAAATGGTGCTAATTTAAAACACTATACATTTAAATTCAGTGTGAATGGGTTTGAATGCTTTAGTCTTGGCTCTGGAATTAATTTGATCCATTATGCAGATATCCCACCATAAGGGTATTTTCAGGTATAGCAGGTTTGATATTCTATATGTTAGTGAATATTTTGCTAAAGATTCAAGAGTGGAAGCTATTTGAAGAGAAAGTGAAAAGCATTTTGCTGTAGTTCCTCGCTCATTTAAACCTTTTTCAACTAAACATGTAGCTTGTGGTCTGTTTCTAGCCCTGCAGTGAGAGACGTGTGCTTTTAAGTGCGTTACTAAACATAAGGTGGGAGAGCAAGTCACAGCATTATGTACTGGAAGCGGTTGCTTGTACGTTTGTATATTTAAACAGCTTTTGGCACACTTAAAATCATCTTGTAAACCTTGGGCTGTCTTCACAGCTGTCATTACTGGTTAAAGCAATGAATATAGACTGATGCTTTTAATTTGCTTTTTGGAGGTCTTCACAAGGTGACGCTCAATAGTGTAGCGTCTGGAAACTCTTGAAGTTCTGGCTGTCAGTATTATCGGTGGTTGAAAACGGAAGAGAATTGGAGTTCCAGGTAGTGCGACCGTAGGGAGCAGAATTGAATTTGACACTGAAATGGAATGAATCGATTCTGAATTGAGTCTAGGTGAAGCCTTGTCTTGTTTATGTACTGGAGGTCAGGCGCCAGCAACTGCGCATACAAATGCACATATGCGCAAATTGAATTATTGTCACTGTGGGCCGTGTGCAGTCTCAGTCTCCCTGGCGCTTGTGAAGGCAAAGCCATTCCCAGAGGATTTCGCTACATCGCCTACTCTTTTGAGACTGTAACGCTTATGCACAAACAAGGTTTTTTGTGTGTGTGTGGTGGGGGCAAATGAATGAAAGAAATCTTATCAACTCTGCTCATAAATATATTAATCAGTGATGCAGCACCCAGTCATAGTAGCTGATTTGCTTAAAGTGGGATCAGGTCTAGATGGTAAACTCTGTTTGGCCCCTGCTTTTATACCAAACACTAGTCTGTAAAGTAAACAGTGATTTATGGAGTCTGAAACAAGTCGACGCCATAAACTTATTTCAGATACAATCTCCCAGGGGCATCCTGGGATTAAGTGTCTTAATCAAGAGCACAACATTGATAGCTCATGGCAAGCTACTTGCAGGGATTGAACCAGCAGCCAGCCCTGAACATTAGCATTATAGCATGCAGAAAATGCTGGTATTTGAGTCATTTCTACAATGCAGTACAGTTTCATGTACCCATTATTCCTTAATATATTACATAATTTAAAACTTAAATTTGTTTTAATCACAATATCACAAACAAGTAGACACAGGGGCAAACAAAATGTTTAAAACGAAACATTTAATCGCTGTAATTCATAATCATTTTGTTAGTCTAAATCACTTCCCATTCTGTCAGTCTTTTGCAAAATCCTTTTAACTAACAAAGCTAATTCCTTAATGACATCATCCTCTAGTAAGTGACATAGCATTGCATTGAAAACAACCTCACAAATGTATTAACAATGGATTTGACGTTTCATTGCCATTGTGCATAATTAAGTATTAATCAATGTTTAAGTGCATATTTCAGAAAGTCTGGTATACCCTTTTATAGACAAAAAATGTATCACAGCCCTATTTATTGTTTAAAGTTACATAGTTGCAAAGTTACTGCATAACATGAATGAATCCTATGTTGCTTAGTCTTTTTAAAATATTAAATATACATTTTTGAAGAACTTTGTTGACTCAAATGAAACACAAATGTTCTTGTCCTTGATGTTCAAGTAATTCTGTCATGAGAATCTTTTCATGATTGTGAGAAGTCCACTTCATTTCATTCTAAATAAAGAACATGATTATTCTGCCATGTTCTGCTGTCTCTCTCTTTCTGTGACATTGATCAAGTGGCATTCTGTTGCATGCAAGCCGTGAGTCTCTATTCTGAACAATGTCTTTTAACTATAGAACTTGTGCTTGAAAGTAAGGGAGCTAAAATAGTAACATTTTAATAGCGTTTTCAGCAGCACTGAATGCTCTGTGAAAATGAGATTGGTAATTAATGCAACGAGAATTTTAGCATAGCATTTCCATGAATAACCAGACAACAATTAATTAGCTATTAACTTAAGTTCCTGTTTTGTTTTGTTTGTTTTAATAAATGATCAAGGTTGTGCAATTTACAATGTCATTCTGCTGGGTAGTTTGAATCATTGGTATGCTGCTCAGAGGAGTTGGTCTTTAGAGGAATAGTTCCCCTAAAAATGTTGCATGCTGTGGAAGACAAGAAGAATTGTAAAAACGGTCAAAAACATTCCAAATGCAACATAAGTTTTTGTAAATATATGACAAAATGCACCTTAAAATTGTATACAAATTGTGTCTTCTGGTGTCATACGATAGCACAGTATCTCTTCTTTTTTGGTGAACTATGGCTTTAACGTATTATCTTGGAGATCAGTATTCACTATCAGGGAATATTTCCAACATTATTTTGGGTTTCCGTTATTAAAGATAGTTGTCCATATTGTTAACAGGCCAAAACATTGAGCAGAGCTTTGAATATTTGATTGAGGTTTTGGTTCTGCTCAAAGTATGATATACAGCTTCATGATGAGAAAAATGTAAAGCAATTTATAACTTTTTCATTAGGGCTGTTACCACGATAATACACGCATACACCACTGCACAAACTCAAATCATGTGGCTACTGTTTAGACCTCCTGAATGTTTGTTTGGTCTAAATAACTTTTGTTCATTTGCAGTATGATAAATCCAATTTCATTGTGTCTCAAACTTGACCCACCTCTCCCTCTCTCTCTCTCTCTCTCTCTCTCTCTCTCTCTCTCTCTCTCTCTCTCTCTCTCTCTCTCTCTCTCTCTCTCTCTCTCTCTCTCTCTCTCTCTCTCTCTCTCTCTCTCTCTCTCTCTCTCTCTCTCTTTCTCTCTTTCTGCTGTAGTGAGTATTGATGAAGTGGAGTTCCAGTGGAAGTCTCAGTTCCACCGCTGGCTTTCTTACATGCTGGACTGGAAGAATCAATTTAACGACCATGACTCTGTCAAAAAGCAACAGTGTGAAAACCTTTAATGTCTGACCACATTTCCCCAAAAGCAGCCCATGCAGTGTACTTTACTACTTTAGAAAGCTTTAGAAAGCCAGAGCCCATATGTATAAACAGAGGAAAGAGCTTCTGTGGTTTCTATATCTTCACAACTCCTTTTTACTAACTCCTTAAGGCCCTATGTGGTAGAGAATTGCTATTTTGGTAACTCAAAAATAAATGAAAATCTTATCGAGGTACTTCGGTGAGTGTTTGCTTCACAAGAACATTTTCAACTCAAAATAAAATCTTAAATTATTATTTGTGTTCCGAAACTGAAGCTTGTTTTAGAACCATTCAGTATTTTTATTCCATCGTGACATTATTTTAATGACAATTAAGCACTTTTCGACCTCAAATGTAATTGTTGTAATTTTTTTAAGTAATTGTACATCATGGTAGTATTTGTCGTTCTGCTGGTTTTCATATAAATGTGTGTATATATATATATATATTACAGTAATGACAAACATGACAAAACACCTTCATAGTATAAGGTCAGAGTGACGCTTTATACACATTTCACACAGACATGTTTTTGTGAGATTCACCTCATTAATGCTCAAGTAAATGAAATTGATTTGGTTTGGTAATGTGTGTAACAGAGTGCCTTAATTTTAAACTATTCATGCAATCTGATTGTGTTTAATGTGGAATATTTTTCATGATTTGCTTGAGGCTTGTTCCTTGTTTTGTTATCAAAACTGTAAATTTTAATACTTTCTATTCTAATTAATGTAGTTGAGTGAATATTATAGAATTAAATATGAATGAAAGTGAAAATCCTGCTTTTTATGATGAAATTAAGATTTAATGGAGTATTTTAACCCAATGGTTCCTTCAAACAGCATTGTTTACACAACACATTTGTGGTGCTTTAAATAAGTAATTCTATAATGGAAATAAAGATGAATATTGTTGCAGCAACATGATGCTAATATTACATGATTAGCCTCTGTAATAACTCTGTCAGGGGTAGGTTTATGTTTTTTTTTTTTTCTTTTGTTTCCACATGTCTACTCATTATTACCTTAACTAATTCCACCTGCCACCTTGGAAATATTGTCTTACCTTTTTTTTAACACTCCCCAAACCCATAATACAAGTGAAACTGGCTTTGGAAAAAGTCACTCTGTAATATTGGTTGACAGCTTTATTAGAAACTTCAACATAATGCATTGCTTATTTTGAATTAAATTGTACGAATGATACAAATTTTACTCTTGCAGATATAAAATATATGCTCTATTTAAGGCTTCCGACTAAAGGAAACGTCAGTCGTGACTCGGACATCTCCTGATGACTTTTACCTTCTGTAAATTTACATTCAGATGCTTATCTGGGATGCCTAAAGTAATTTTTTGGAACGGCATGTGGCAAATATTTGCAAAAATATGACAAACAAAATCACAATGGGGCATCAGCTTGTTGTGATGGGTGCATTTTCACTGACAGAGACTAAATCATCTGACTCATGACACAATGACCTGCTGTGCAAATGTGCTAAAAAAAAAAAGAAAAAGAAAAAAGAAAGAAATATATATATACACACACAGTATATGAAGATTTGTGCAGCAGGTCGTTGTTGCAGCATAAATGAGAAAGAAAAAAAATCCACTAAAATAAAATAAATGAATATATATATATATATTGTCCGAACCAATATATATACCGGTGTCTAGACTCACCAGCTACTTTATTAGTACATTTTGTGAGTACTGGTTTCGATCCCTTTTTGCATTCAGAACTGCCTTAAAGGGATAGTTCACCCAAAAATGAAACTTTTCATCATTTACTCATCCTCAAGTTGTTAATTTATGAATTTATTTCTTCTGCTGAACACAAAAGAAGATATTTTGAAGAATTTCGATAACCAGACTGATGGTAGCTATTGACTTAATGGGGGGAAAAAAATACTATGGAAGTCAATGGCTACCATCAACTGCCTGGCATTCTTCAAAATATCTTCTTTTGTGTTCAGCTGAAGAAAGAAATTCATACAGATTTGGAACAACATGGGTGAGTAAATTATGACAGAATTAACATTTTTGGGTGAACTATGCCTTATTTGTGGGATCATGGCATTGAGATCTGGTGTGACTGTGGAGGTCATTTGAGTTTAGTGAACTCATTGTCATGTTCAAGAAACCAGTGGTAACACTTTACAAGAACAATGCAAATGAAAAATAAATCTACATAAATATAATATTAAATATACATTTCAAAGACTATTAAAGTTAAGTAAACTCTCTGCAATCAAATAAGAACAAATAATCAAACTGCAAGCAATAGCACAAATAAACAAATGCTAATTAAAGGTACAATATGTAAGATATTTGTAATAAAATATCCACAAATCACTTGCACAGTGTGATATATTTCCTGCAGTTGTGAACTTACAATATCCCAAAAGTTCCCAAAGATTTTTAATTTCAGAGAAATTCCCATTTTAAATAATGTCTCATCCCTGGTCATTGTCGCCTGTCAATGATGTAATATCCGCGTTATTCCTGGCTTCCGCTCATACTGCCATAGTAGCCATGGTGACAGACGTGGACAACTGCGTTATGTCTAGCAGCACGCTCGTGCTGTTGTCGTTTCGTTCAAACATTATGGACCATGGCAAGCATACTTTGGGACAAAAGGAGAACTAAAACGAGGTTCAATATCCAGTGGCGGAGCCAGGAATTTTTCATAGGGGTGGCCGGGCAGGGGCCAGCAGTTACTTTGGGGTGGCACAAAAAACATAATTTTTGCAAACAAACATGGCACTCATCCAACCTTAAAAAGTATTGTAGGTTCCCAAATCACAATGATGTATAATGTACAATAGCTAGCCTACAATGACATTTGTATTAACCCTCTGGGGACCAGAAACGCGCCGGTGCGTTTTGCTCGTTTTTTTTCACATAGCAGAAAAATAGACTTAAAGTACTACCATCATTTCTGTTCATATAGAGTTAAGAAATATGAAAAAATAATCTGGTAAATGTCTACTTTTTTATGTGCCCACATACAATCGAAATAAAATATTGTGCTTTTGTAAAATAAAGAAAATAAACAGGGTGTGCGTTCTGCCTCTCAGTCACCGTGAACTTTTTTTCTGGAGCACGTCTCTAATCTTCAACACAACTCAGCTAATACTATTCACCCAGCCATAAGCAATATATCTTTTAAATCATTTGAGTTTGTACGTTTAAATGATCCGATTCAAAACTAAAATTAATATTCTCCGTTTATGTCATCTATATAAAAAGAGAGACGTGTCAGCCCGTCTCATTATCGTTCTCGAGCTGATTATCTCTGGTAATGTGACACGCCCACGGAGAGCACGCGCTGTTCAAACGCAAATATGTGAAGCAACACATTGAGACGCGTTAACGCCCATAAACTCTGAAAACACACATTATTTTTTAGTCAGATTAATCTACTGTCGTCTTGCGCGGCTATATGAGGAACAATCCTGGGACATTTACCACTGGGTTTATTTTCACTTCGAGGATGAACAGATTCAGCTGAGAAGTAAGTGTTTTTTGCAAGTGCTTTGTTCTAATCGCGATATAGAATAACGTAGTGTCTGTAAACGGAAAAATAGCATACTGTTTAAAAATGTGAATCATGTTTGTGTGTGTGTGTGAATGAATGAATGAATGAATGAATTTTTTAAATCTCATCATTCTTTGTGCAAGGCTCCTGTAATGATAGGGCCTGATAGCACCTAATAGGGCCATTATGGGAGGGTCTTTGTCTTTCTCAGGTGTGGAATGCCACACATATTAATGAGAGATCACGCCTCCTGCATAAAGCTTTCTCAAACAAAACACGTCATTAAAAATGTAAAAGACTTTATTGACTTATCTGAATGAGTAGTCAGGATGATTCTCACATAGTTTTGGAGCAAATATTCTAGGCTATGTGATACAGTTTTCAAAAGTCTTGTGAAGAAATAATCAATATGTGTTTTGTGGTCTTATTTCAGCAACTTTCATTTTTATTTTTTTCAATAACCACGCATAAACATTATTCTATTAAAAATACAAACATGTACATACATGTTGCTCAGATATCATGGTAGCCAAGTTTGTGCTATATAGAGTGAATTTACACCTTTGCCATTAACATGTTTATAAATAACTGAAAAAAGCACAAATGTCAGTGCATGTCAAAACATTCCAAGGGCCCCAAAAACACTCTGGTCCCCAGAGGGTTAAAGTTCTCCAAATAACTGTGTCATACTTTTACTCACCCTCAAGTTATTTAATCAAATAAAACTTAGGAAATTCACTTTGAAAATGGAATACATATCTCCCAATGCTGAAAAAACAAAACAAACAAAAAACTGTTTAAAAAGGACCAGAAAATTGTCAATTATGTACTGAAGTGAATTTTATTTCAAGTGCAAACTATGAAAATTGAGCAAACTTACAAGCTGTTTCCAAATTACATGACACTAGTTACACTAGTACAAACAACCTACATTAGTTGGATTCTATGGTTGGTTATTGTGGTTTAAAGCAAAGAAATTCACAAATTCATCAAGGTTCAGAGACTTGGCTCTCCTGGACTCCACACTTAAGACACCTAGATTGCTCAGTCTATCATCATTCATGGTTGAGCGCAGGTAACTCTTTACCAGTTTGAAAGTAGAGAAGCAGAGTTCACATGCAGCTGTACTCACAGGAATGGCAACAGCAATTTTGCACAATCTAAAGAGCTCGTGGAATACCTCTTTAAATGGCTCAATGAGCACAGTCAAATCTACAACACTAGTGGGCTTCTGTATTCCAGCTTGCACTTTTCTCTCCAGAATTATTTTCATTTGGTGAAGTTCATGTCTTTGGTCATCTATGTTTCATGAATAGATAGAGGCAAATAGGAAAAGTTCTTCCTCCTAGCAAAATGTTGCACTAGTGGGCTTCAGAGCTTGGATTCCCATCACAATTTCACAGTTTGGTTTTGAGAATCATCTGTTTAACTCACTCATATT